TGCCACTCGCATTTCTCTCTCTCTCTCTCTCTCTCTCTCTCTGTTCTGCATCATCTGCCTTGCTCAACCTTGCTAGTGCAGAAAGTCAGAACGTTTGCGGGAAAAACCAAAGCTGGTACACGTGTGTCTGCGGCGGAGACGTGGCCTCATCCGAAAGTTTGCTCAGCGCCACTGGGTCTGAAGGGCTGGCCACTTAGAAACGTCTGACAGGACATGCAGTCACGCTTCACTGCCAGTTGTGCTGCATTTTGAGCTGAAACGACATGAGGGGTGAGCGTGCAGTTCAAAGACTTCCGACTTTTCCGGCGTTCAAACGGTGTAATACAGGAACACACTGTGCGGACTGTATAGCCCTAAAAGAGCTGCCTCATTACCAGAATAATGTTCCCCCCTGTGGTTTATATAATGGTACCTTGGTTTTTACTGGGACATCCATAAAAGGGGTAAGCTCGCCACTTTAGATGGCTGACCTCAAAAATGCGCCCTAGCCAACGTGAGGAGCCGCACCCACAATGCAGTTGGGGTGCCTGCTAAGTGCCCATGGGCGAGAAAGTAGAAAAGTACCCCTTTGTCCTATCAGGTGGTCCCTGCAAACTGCAGTGGGTTAGCCAAGGTCAGCTGCCTGCCTGCAAGTCACTGCCAGTGAGCCCTGGGTCTTCTGAGTGCAGTTTAATGAGAATGCTTTTAGACACTGTGAAACACCAGTCCACGGAGAAAGGGTATTTAAAATGACATTTTAAAATATTATTTTACCAGTGTTTATTTTTGGTGCATTTATATTCTTATTGCTAATTTGTGAGTTTCATTTTGAGGTTACTTTCATGTTATGTGCTGGGTGTTCAGTGTATGCAGTTTTCTTTGTATATCATAGATTTGCATTTTATGTCACTAAGTATTATATGTCTTATATATTGTTATTTGTGGTAGTAGGTGTACTAATAGCATTATAATATTTTTCTAGGTATTATTATTGTTGCTGTTGTTATTACTGGTGGTAGTACCAGTAGTGACCCATAATGCTCTTTGGGACAGAGGAAAGAGCAGCCTGGGGCAGCCTTTAACTACTGTGTACATGTCCAAACATCACCATTACATTCACTGGTAGGTCTCCTAATTATACAATACACAGAGATTATATTAAATTAGAAGTCACCAAAATTTCTGGTTTAAAAAAATTACAAATTAAAAATTACCTAAGAAATAAAACACTAAGTTTCAAATTTGTTACCTCAACCATCCATTTTCTGAAGCCACTTATCTTATTCAAGGTTGCGAGGGGTCAGGAGCCTACGGGCATAAGGCAGGGAGCAACCCAGAATGGGGCACCAACCCAGAATGGGGCACCAACCCATCGCCGGGCACAAGGCAGGGAACAACCCAGAATGGGGCACCAACCCATCACCGGGCACAAGGCAGGGAGCAACCCAGAATGGGGCACCAACCCAGAATGGGGCACCAACCCATCGCCGAGCTCAAGGCAGGGAACAACCCAGAATGGGGCACCAACCCATCACCGGGCTCAAGGCAGGGAACAACCCAGAATGGGGCACCAACCCATCACCGGGCTCAAGGCAGGGAACAACCCAGGATGGGGCACCAACCCATCGCCGGGCACAAGGCAGGGAACAACCCAGAATGGGGCACCAACCCCAATCACACACACCAATCACTCACACATGCACACCTATGGGCAATTTGGTAACTCCAATAAGCCTCAGCATGTTTTTGGACTCTGGGGGGGGGGGGGGGGACTGGAATACCCAGAGAAAACCCTGCAACAACATGGGGAGAACATGCAAACTCACACACATGGAACATGAGGCAACAGTGCCAAGCCCTTCACCAACCAATCTGCCATTTTTATTTTTAAACCTTTTTTAACACTTGTTACTTTTTATTTCTTAATTTATTCTGGAGCGCCCCAGTGCTCCTGGCTAACACACAACCGCACGCTGGATCTGCCCCTCCTGTCCTCAACAATCTGTAGGTCTGTTAGTCAGGAACCATCTCCTGTGTGGATCATGTCTGTCTTTCAAATGCTTCCTGATTACCTGTATTGACAGCGACACCCCCAGCTGTGCATGGTGATGTAAGTCAGCTAAACACACGGATGAATTACCTTTTAACTTTGTATGATTTTATATTTTTGAAGAGTGAATTAAAATCTCCCAATAGAATACACTTTGAGTATTTCAGTGACATGAAAAAAAAGAAAAAAAAATACCTGCCAATAATTGTGAATGTTTTCATACAGTAAGTGCCAGAGGCAGAAGAGAGCTTTAGCATATGTCAAACCTTAAAATATTAAGTGTAAAATAATAAGTGTCTTTATCTGTGAAAAATAAAGTGATACAACTTCAATACGGGAAGCACTGGAAAGGGATACACTGAAGAAATCAAGGTAAAAATCAAACAGATGTAAAGATTAAAAGGCAATATCAAACATAGACGTCTCATAGTGCAATAAAGGAAGTGCATGGCATTGAAGTGACAGTTTTTAATAATTTTTTTCCCAGAAGCCCTGTGTAGAGGAGCGCAGGTGTAGTGGTAAGGTGTAAATACCTGAGATGGGCGGCAGGACAGCTGAGGTAAGCTGAGGGGGGCTGGGGGGGTAGGAAGGGGGATATGGTGGGGAGGGGGGGTGGTTGGCTAGTGGGGGGTGGACATGGACCAGGCCCCCTCCATCCTCCAGACGGAGAAGGCGTAGCTGAGCCGCTCGTGGGCCAGGTAGCTGGAGCTAGCCAACTTGCCGTGCATCTCGTCGCTCTGCAGCACCTGGTACAGGAAGTCGATGTAGCGCGAGGCCAGCTTGAGGATCTGGATCTTGCTCAGCTTGTCCGAGGGCAGCGTGGGGATAATCTTCCTCAGCGAGGCAAAGGCGTCGTTCAGCGACTGGGTGCGCTGCCGCTCGCGCACGTTGGCGATCACGCGCTGCGTGTGCAGGTCCTCGAAGGGCTGGCTGTCGTGGGGGGCGGAGCTAGTGCCCTGCTGGCCGACCGCAGCCACTGCCGCGGGGGGGCTCTTCTTGGGCCGCTTAGCTCCTGGTGACAGAAGGTGCGGGGGACTGCCAGCTGACCTTTCCTCAGCCTCACTGTTGTCATTCCTGGGGCACGGCTCTCGCTTACGGGTCCCGCTCGACCCCGTCTTTGGGGGGCGCTCCGCATCCTCCCCCCGGGCTGCTCGGCTCCCTTCTGGTGAGCGTGTGTAGGACAGTTCCTCACGCATGGCGGCTCCTCCTGGAGGTTCTCTGCCTCGCTTCTCTGCCTCGCTTCTCTGCCTCGCTTCTCTGCCTCGCTCTCGCTCCGATTCCTCAGGCCTGTCACTAGCACAGGCTGCTCACTCGCAAGCTGTGGACCAAGCTCTGCCTTTAAGAGGCAGTCTGCCAAATAAAAAGAAAAAATGTGCCAAAGTAGTATACTGGTGCTAACCCATCTGTCCCTTATGGCAGACCTGGACGGCTTTTCTCTCCTGCAGCTGCATGCGTACTGAAAGCACCCCTGGCCCGCGATCCGCTCCACTCTGCAGCCCACCAGTACGAGCTTCTGGTCCTCTCCGCTCCACGTCTACTGTTCTTATAATGCGAGGGGCCTGGCGGGGCATCTGATTGGCCACCCTGAGGTGGAGGGCGTGGCGAGGTCTGCAAGATCTGAAAAGGGATGCCGGCATATTTTGGGGGGTGGGGGTCAGCTGGGTTGGCCAATCCGCCAAAGCGGTGGTAGAATTGTCTGAAGTTTATGCGTTCCAGATTTTGCCCGAAAACAATTTGCTATCTGCCGCCCCCCCCCCCCCCCCAATTTCCCGTTTCTGACCCCTGACTGCACTTCTACCGAACACCACAAACAAACTTTTGGGTTTAGAGAGACAGGAAAGAAATTTGTACATTTTAAAAATGTGGAAAAAGGTTAAAAGCATGGCATGTATTTTCATTTCCCATTAATTGACAGGTAGCCTTCCACACTCAGATCGCCCTCTATCTGTTGAACGAGTAACTCCTTCCCGAAATCAGGGTCAGCATTTTGAAGAGAGCCAGCCAAGACCCACAAGGATTCAGGTGAACCCAGACAGGACAGCAAAGACAGCTAGTGAAGAAACCACAGGGAGCAGCAGAACGGATCTGGTCAAAGGGGACAAACAGGAGCAACTATAGTGGGGAGGAGGTTCAGTAAATTTGCCAAGAGACATTAAAATATGTTGCTTATAGTTTACTGCTTATGACTAACATATTTTAAATGTTGCAGCATGTTTCAATATTTTTCCAGCACACAATAATCCAGTAAATTGCAGACAGTGCAATTGACAGTAACATTGACAATTGTCAAATGCATGCATTTCCTATATAAGAAAAATAAATCAAAAAGGATTTTTTTTTATTTGAAAGCTAAATTCTCCATGTTTTGGAGAAAAAAAACTGCAGTATAGTGAACCTTCTGAGGAATGGCACTCCTGCCAAAACTTCAATGGCAAGGCGGAAAATTGTTTAAGAACTGAGAAATAACATTCAAGGATCTGTAGGCATCCTGTGCTTTGGCTGAGGTCAGCATTTTTGTCATGGGACACATGGCAGAATGGCGGGATTGAATGCCACTCACCAAGAACAACACCACTGGCCATCTGAGCTGGGCCAAAAATGACCCGAGCGATCCTCAAGAATACTGGGATCATCTCCTGCTGACAAGATGAGTCAGACATGGAAATTATTGTATGCAGCAAGACAAAAACATGAAACGTAGCAGGAAAATTGAATCAGAATGATGGGGGAAGGAAAACTGGTCAAAGGCCAAACCTAAACCCCAATGATATGTTGTGGCAAGACCAGAAACAAGCTTAAAACCAGCAAACATTGATGTGAAGCAGTTTGGCATTAGAGTAGATGACATTCCACGGTCCTGCAAGAGCCTGGGTGATAACAAGGAGTATTTGCATGGTGCTAAATGTGAACCAGTTCTTCGTTGTAAAGGAGTGACTGTATGCTTCCACACAAAGATATTGCACAAACTCCTTTAATGAGTGAATGAGAAATGCTGAAATGTTATTGCTTTAGCATATGTTGGCAGCACGCTCCCTGTGTAGAAAGACAAGCCCTAAAACATTTTCTGTGTACTCACAGCTTCTTGTTCTAGAGTTGTTCCAGTTTTATCTGGTCCCCAGCTCTTCACTAATGTAAAGATACCAAATATCATAAATATATCATGTCTAATTAATTTTATATTGAATATATTTTTACTGTCATATGTCTGGATGACCATATTATATTGATATTAAATTTTGGGGTGATATATAATATGTGAGACAAAATTATAACTGTGTGCTTATCTAGAACATAAGAAATTTACAAATGAGAGGAGGCCATTCGGCCCATCAAGCTAGTTTGGGGAGAACTTAACTAATAGCTCAGAGTTGTTTAAATCTCATCTAGCTCTGATTTAAAGGAACCCAGGGTTTTAGCTTGCGCTACACTAGCAGGAAGACTATTCCATACTCTAACTACACGCTGTGTAAAGTAATGCTTCTTCAAATTCATTTTAAAATGTTCTCCCGCTAATTTCCACTTATGGCCACTAGTTCTAGTATTTAAACTAATATTGAAGTAGCCATTTGGCTGAACAGCAACCAGACCTGTTAGAATCTTATATACCTGGATCATGTCCCTCCTTAGTCTCCTTTGCTCGAGGTATGGTGACCAAACCTGCACACAATATTCAAGGTGGGGTCTTACCAAGGAATTATACCAAGGAAAACCTCCACGCACCTAGAGATGTAACCCAAAATGCTTATGAACAGTTTCGTATATCTTCTGTGACTCGCCTCTTCCATTGGTCTTCCCTCCATGTGGCACACAGCCATTTTTCTGACAATGCGCTGCTTGCTGAAGCATCGGGCACCAAGCTTGGGGTTTGGTGACTAAGAGCGTTTTTCCACTGCACCAGGCACTGAACTTTTGACACAAAAAAATTGGTACTGCCCTTTTTCCACTGATTTCCAGTCCAGTACCAAAGTACCAAACCAGCTGGGGTACTCATTTTGTACTTTGGAGTTGCAAACATGTTTATTGTCAACTGGTTATGCAAATAACCTGCCTCACAACAAAAAATACAATCACCATCTTGAAAAAGCATAGTTACAACTCAGAAAACAGCAATAAATAATAATAATAAAAAAGTAATAATAAAGGATGCATGGACAAATGAAGAGATCCAAGCTTTAATTGATCTGGTCGGAATAAATGATGAGATCTGGATGGCATGACAAGAAATAAAAAGGTATTTGGTATCTAGTACTACATGATGTTGGAAAAAATTCAAATTTCATGTTGTACAATAAAGTCATTTTAAAGCAAAAAAGGACAAAATTTACCCAAACTAAACTATAGCCAAACATAACTTATCTACCAACAGAGTCTGTCAAATAAGGTGGTGCTTTTGCCACGAGTTGTGCTGGCAAATCATTTGATTTTGCTCTATATCATGTCTATGGAATCTGAAATATTTCCATACATTAGAAGGCAAATGCTTTTTAGTGACCAATTCTTGTTCTTTCCTCTTTCCTGCTCATTTTGTTTAATTTTCTCAGAAATGTGTCTATGAGAGATTAAACATTAAACATCAAAATGATTACAATTAGCTTGGAGAACTCATGCAGAATACATGCAAAAGCAGCAGAGGTAAACTTTAAACTGACTTCTTAACATACAGGCCTACTAGATTATCTTGGAAAGGAACAATCATTAAAATTGTAAAGCTTGCTAAGATTTGTTTCCTATGACAGAGTAAGACCAAGATTTTTAAGTTCTGAAACTATATTGCAAGATAATGTCATTTTTAAAAATACCATATGTGCATTACATGCAATGTCAATATTAATATTACCCAGTCCTATAACATACTATAATAGCCATTTTTTAATTTAGCATAGAACACCCGCCGCGCATTGTGATGATGTCAGTCTGTGCCAGTACCAGTTTTTCCTGCCAATGGAATATGTGCACAAAAAGTACCATTGACTTTGGTACTTTGAAGTACCAAAATTTGGTACCTGTTGCAGTGGAAAACTGTCCTAAGAGAGTTGGGGCAGAGTCCAGAAATACTTCATGACCAAATAATTCTCCCTGAAGGGTGTAAGACTTGGTCATAGTGTATGTCAGTGAACTGAGCACAGCCTCTGGCCTGAACACGACTGGCCCTTGTGAGGACACCTGTTCTGGGAGGCTATTTTGGGCCAGTATGCAGGAAATGAAAGAAGTCAGAAAAACAAACAAGTTTGAGGAGAGGAATTAATGTTGTCAATGCAGCCATCGCTGCAACCACAGTACCAAAAAATGGCCCTCTGTTCTGTTAAACATGTTCAATGAGAAGCTGACACAAAATTCCATAGGGCTCGGACTAGGTGGTACCAGAACAGAATGCCTTTCTGGACCCTTACCCTTTAGAGACAGCCAAAAACAAAACACGCAGCAAACAGCAGCCGGCCTTTCAACTGGTTTTTATGCAACATTTCCTGGACTGAAATCTGTATTTCACATTTAGCACTGAGGGGTATTAATCTTCAAGTTGCCTGAAAACCTGCTGATCTTTGTTGCTTAGTGCACAGAGGGCGGAGGAGCTTTGCATTAGCACTGCACGCACATGCGGAGGAGCTTTGCATTAGCACTGCACGCACATGCAGAGGAGCTCTGCATTAGCACTGCACGCACATGCGGAGGAGCTCTGCATTAGCACTGCACGCACATGCGGAGGAGCTCTGCATTAGCACTGCACGCACACGTATCCTGCCTCCTGCCTGCACTTTATTTCTAAACTCACACGTAATTATTACTGTATTATTTAGAGTTTCGTTTTATATACTTGGCTGAACATTCCCCACCGATTCATTCCTAGAGGGTAAAATGACAGGGCCAATCTGGGAACTTGAACCCACAACCTTTCAGTTACAATCTCAGCTGCAAGAGTCAGTGTCAATGTCCAGAAGTCGAATTTGACAAATGTAAGGCATCGGCTTCTCATCTATTGTCCTGTGAAGCTTCACATTCAGATAAAATTCTGGTTCAGAAAATCCCAGCATATGTCCTGTTAATTCTGTATTCATGGAATCAGAAATATTAAAGTCACAGCAAGTTTTAGTGATGAAGTTAATAGCCTGGACATAACTAAACAATTCGGAAGGATCACTACAGATCTGGGGTAACAACTTAAAACGCAAGTCTAAAGTAATTAATACCCTTGAACAATTTTATGTAAAAAACCCTTCATATCCCAGCCATAATCTTTAAGTCATTCATTATTACACATCCTATCTACCTGCGGCCATTTGCCCAAAGCAGCAAATTGATCTGGGGGGAGGGGGCATTCAGCTGGTTCAGCTCAGACTCTAAACACAGACTTCAGGGGAGTTTCTGAACTGGCAAACTGCCAAATGCGAGTCAGTCATTTTTCTTCCACATAAAATGGCATTTTAATTCCAACCAGAGGGTTGGAGTCCTGACTTAGGAATCACACATGTGAACACCAGCATGGAAAACACACATGATCACAACTAC